CCTTTCTTCTCAACAGAGTGAAGGAGTGAGACTTAATCCAGCAATTTCTGGTGAGAGGAAATAAATTAGTTTCAGGCACATTCTTGTAACCAAATTAACCTACTGGTGAGAAGAAGAATTATTAAAGGGTTTTGAGTCATATTGACCTCTCAGCAATGTTTCTTCAAAGATTTTTATGAATTGGCCCACCACATAGTTGGTGTTCAGGACATAATTAAAAATTGCAATTTTCCTGAGAACATGCTCTGTGCCCTCAGAAAAATTCAAATTTATTCTTCAAAGAATAATACAAGTTTCAAAGCTTCCATGAACTCTTCAGTAACTTCTCCTCCCTAGACACTGCCCTTCTGTTATTACCTATAGAGCACCATTAACCACTTTCCTACTTGAAATTGGTTTATCTTAAGCTTCATTTCCCATATACATCATCTATACTATATAAGAAGACATACAAACTTAAATGATGAATTAACTGTGGTAGCTAGAATGTATTGAGCACTTTCTGTTTTTAGAGCACCACATGCAGCCTCTACCTCCACTGATTTGTCACCCAGCCATGGGAGACATTATTCCCATTTCACATATGGGGAAACTGAAGCTTGCTGACAAGTACTTACACACTGAAGTCCAAAAAACTAGCAAGTAGCAGAGCTGGTACTTGAAGTCATATCATTTTAAATCAAAGCCTCAGTTCATGATCAGTAAGAAGTATTCCCCTACTACTTTATAAATAATCTAAACTCTCTACCCCAGCGCTGGACACAATAAAGTTACTCATGATAATGCCTTATTCGTGGGTGACTGATTTATTGAATCCATCATTCAGAGAATTAAATACAGAGAATTAAAAAGCATGGTTTGGGAATCAAATATAATATTAGCTACTGTGAATTTGGTAAATAAACTATCTTTCAGAATTCCCACCAAATGATAAGAACTATGTCAACAAATGCTTACAAGCAAACTCCTCTTCTCACTCTCCAAAAAGTAAAAGAAAAAAAAACATTTCTACATTTAAAAGTGATAGAACTTTTTGATAACAGCAATGAATAAGTCACATAAAGTGCTGGAATTTGTTCAGTAATTCATCCAGCATTCATTCTCTCCTCAAGTACTAAGTATGTACTTACATTACACCAAAGTGTGTCATACTTCTATGATTTACAGTGATACATAAAACACATTACCTGACCTCATGGTGTGTAGTGGATCAAGACCAATGTATAAAATGATCATTATAATTTGTGATTTTTATTCTTTGTGTCCATTATTTTTGTCCCTCAGGCCAGTATGGTAGGATGCTCTCATTTACGCGATAGTTCACCAACCAGGAGGATATGTAATAGTTAATCAGTGTGGGTGCCTAATGCCAGTAATGCTTCTGAATGAGAGCTGGAGTCCAGGTCTGCTCATTTTCATACATTGTTCCTTCTGGTGTGATGTTTATACCTCTTCTTTCAAGCATTTAATAATTGGTTTCTTAGCCCCTCTTTTATTCCTCTTCATTCCTTCCCTTTTTCCTTAGTATAGTTATGTGCCCATAGGGAACTTGCTAACAAAAGTCATGGGTGTGTGAGTTGTTATTTCTTCTCCATTAAACCCATCTGTTCTCAAAAATCAAGAAAGAGAGGCTATTAACATTATTCTTGGAAGAAGTTGATGTGGACATCAGAGCTGGAAAAAAAAACACATGCTGGTACATCCAACCAATCACAAAAGTCTTAGACAACCAAGCAAGTGACATCTTGGGCCCCTCAGTTAGCCACTCTATGATCCAGCTCCACACACCAGTGAACCACCACTAGCCCCGTGATCTCCTGGGGCTTTGTAGCCAACTAGCAACACAGTCCCACCCACCATTGGACCAGGACCAGGATGAGGACACCTCTGGTCATGTAGCTGGCCATACCAGGACCCAGCTCTGCTCAACAGCAAGTGACCACCTCTGCATAAGGCATAACCTGGCTACCAACCAGACCAGGATCTAGGTATGCCTATCAGCACATCCACAGTCATCATCCTGTAACAACAAAAAGACACACAGCCCATACAGGGAGCAACCCTAGAGCATATCACTCTGGTGAGCAGAGGGCAGTGCACTGCTGGGACACAGGATGTTTCCTACATAAAACCACTTTTCCAAGATAGGGTAACATAACCAACCTACCAAATACCAATAAATAATAATAGTGAATTAGTCAAAATGAGGCAACAGAAGAATATGATCTAAATGGAATATCAAGGTAAAACCCCAGAAGAGGAGATCAGTGAAGTGGAGATAAGCAATCTACCTAAC